GACAAAAAAAAAAAAACAGAAATGCTGTACCAAGCCAAAAGACCACTGGGAGTTTGAGGCCAGGCTAGGCTACAAAGTGAGTTCAAAGGCAGCCTGCACTACAAAGTCAGACCCTATTTTACAGGAAAAAATAACCTTTGATTTTTTTTTTTTAAGTTGCTGTACCAAAAGATTCCAACAGCTGAAATGAAAAGTATACTAGAATAATTCGGCAGCAAATTTGAGCAGGCAGAAGAATCAGGGATCTTGAAGACAGGTCAGTTGAAATTATTCAGTTGGAGAAAAAAGAAAGGAAAAAGAATAAAGAGAAGCAAACTGAGCTTAAGAGACCTGTAAAACACCATCCAGTATATCCATATTTGAGTAAAGACAGTACAAAAAGCAGAATATTTGAAGAAATAATGGCTAAACCATCTCAAATTTAATTAAGGATGAATCTGTATATCCAAAAAGCTAAATGAACTCTAAGTAGAGTAAACTCAGAAGTGCTCACCAAGATACATCTGAATCAAACTGGGGTTTTTTTGGGGTGAAGGAGATGAAAATTGAACTCAGGACCTCATACTTGTGAGGCAGGCACTGTGCCACTGAGCTACATCCCTAACCCCAAATTGTTAAAAACAAAGGCAAAATAGAAAGTCTTGCCAGGGATTTAGCTCACTGGCATAAACACCTGCCTGGCAAGCATGAGGTAGTTGAGTTCGATCCCAAGTACCAAAAAAAAAAAAAATAGAAAATCTTGAACATAGGAAAAGAAAACAGCACAATCCAAAAATAAAGGATTTCAGTTGGCATTTCTCCAAGAAGATAAGCAGCAGGTCAGCAGTCGCATGCTCTCATGGCCAGCATCATTAGTCATGAGGGAAATGCAAGTCAGAGCCAGTCACATGCCCCCTCCTCCCTATTAGGATGACTTTAATCAAAACATTGAAAAATAACAAGTCTACAAGAGAGAGCGGAAATTGGAACCCTTGTCCTTCACAGGAAGAAATGTCAAACAGTACAACCGCCATGGTAAACAGTCTGTGTTTCTGCCTTAAGTTAAACATAGAATACCCATCTGAGCCAGCCATTCTGCACCTATGTATACACCCAAAAGCATTGAAAACAAGAACTTGTAAACATTGAGACAAAAACGTGTACGAAATGCTCTTTGCAGCATATTACGTGATACTTTATAGGTGGAAATAACTTAAATGACTATCAAATGAAAAAAGACAGGGGCTGGGGATTTAGCTCAGTGGCATAAGCGCCTGCCTTGCAAGCACACGGTCAAGAGTTCAATCCCCAATACTGATTAAAAAAAAAGGAAAGAAAAAGGACAACAAAATGTCGTATCATGAAAAGGAACAAAGTACCAATAGCTAGCTGCTACACATGGAGGAGCCTTGAAAACATCATGCTCCGTGAAAAAAGGCAGACACAATAGGTCAGTGCTTGTATGATCACCACTTACCAGTGGCCACCAGCTCACAGTGATTTTACTTTGTTGTCCTACCTTATCGTGGAGTTAACTGTGTTGAAATTTCTCTGAAAAGCATCTTGGCTTAGGATGGCTCAACTTACCATTGATGGCTTTATCAAGATATTAAGTGTACTTTTGACTTAGGGTTCTTTGGGATGTAACCACATTAGAAGTCAAGGTAGGTACATCTGTGTATAAAATATCCACAGGCCTATGGAGTTTTGCCTGTCACAGAATAGGTAAAGCCATAGAGACAAAAAATACATTAGTGGTTGCGGGAAGAGTAAGGAATGACTCCTTAATAGAATAGGTTTTCTTTGTGAGCGGGAATAATAGAATATTTTCCAGAGCTAGATCATAAATTATAGTTACTGTGAATATAATAAATACCTCTGAGTAGTACACTTTGAAATGATTTAAATGGGCAATTTTTTATTTGTTTTGTTTTGTTGAGACAGAATTTCCCTGGAAAGTTCAATCATATTTATTCCTTGAACTCAAAGTGATCCTCCAGTTTTGTTTAATTTCAACAACATACGTGAAGATATGGTCATCTATTTTGAAGAGAATGAGAGACACTATGGCAGCCATTGCTGACTTCCTTACTGTCTAGTCTTGAAGACCTAAAATGCCTTCATCATCCTGTTCTGATCAGTTCTATACTATTTAGTTTTGTATGAATTCATTATATGTGAAGATATGGACAACTATTTGGAAGAAAACAAGACAATATAATAGATAGTAATCTCTGGCTGTCTTGCTTTGAAATCTGTGTCTCTTACATTGTTATTTTATGATCTGTTTTGTTATGTTTAATTTTGCCTTCTGTCTCTAAAAAAACAAAAAAAAAAGGGAATCCTCTTGCCTCAGTTCCCCAGATGCTGGGATTATAGGCATAGGCTGCCACACCCAGCTTAAATAGTTGGTTTTATATGTGTTTTAGCATAGCAAAAAAAAAAAAAATACCTACATATACTTAGAAAAGGGCCATAAGATTTTGAATAGTATATGCTATAGGATCTGCAGGTAGTGCCCGAAGAGGAGTTCCCCACTGAACTTGAACAGCAGTAAGAAGTAAGGGTGGACTCGTGGGACGGCAGTTGGTTACAAAGAGGAGGACCTGAGCCTTCCTGTCTGAGCACCAGGTCAGCAGACAGAGCCACGGCTCTGGCTTCTCTTCCTGTACTGCCCCTAGGAACACATCCTGTGGGGCTGCCTGTTTCCTGCTTAGTTCATAGTGCACTTGCAAAACCACCCACCCCAGCCCCAGAAAAACCAGCTCTGCTTCTGTGCAGCCCCGTTCTCACTTCTGTACTACTGCATAGTGGTCACCACTTGCCAGAGTCGTGACGCTTCTTTGGTCCGGGACGATGCTGACCCTTCCTACTACTGTTCTTAGGAGCGCAGGAGCGAAGGACGTGGCTGGCTCTTGGTGCATTATTGAACAGCAGCTTGAACATGATAGCAGTGTTGGACTGTGGTATTTTTCATTTGTCCCCCTGTCCATTTTAACGGTAGCTTTTCCTCCATCACCACACCCTTTATTATTTCATTTTGTGACAGGTGGCTGGGTGGAACAGAGCAGCAAATACGTCTTGTTTCTGCGCTTTCAGAAAGGGGTGATGTAGCCTCGGTTCTTTGCAGCCTCTCCTCTCTTGCTGAGCCTGAGCAGCTGCCCAAAGGAGAAATCTGCCAGCCCCAGCAGCCAGCATGCGACAGCTGAAAAGCAGGCCTGAGGGGAAGTGGGTGCTATAAAAGACTGCTCTTGGGTCTTACACACAGGTTTTCACATCAGAAACGTTCTCATCAGAACCTTGAACCTTAGCGTGAAACCCTGTGACGTGTCTTCCCAGTTTCTGAATAACTAAAATCATGAGTGCAGGTACAATATTAGGTTGACAATAAGTTCACTTTATTTAAACTTTCTTCCTGGTGATGCTTCATATTCATCAAAACTTAGAAAGCATTTGTTCTTCTATAACTTGAGTGAAATTCTTTCAAGCCAAAGATCTGCTTTTAGGGGCTGGGGATTTAGCTCAGCAGCATAAGCACCTGCCTTGCAAGCAGGCGGTCGTGAGTACAGTCCCTGGTACCGGAAAAAAGAAAAAGAAAAGAGAAGGGAAGGGAAGAGAGACCAAAGATCTGCTTTTCCATCATTTTGAGCGTACCATACATTAGACCTAACTACACAGTAGTGAGCTTCCAAATGCAGTTAGCTTCTGCAGAGCACGCTGCAGCTGTCTCTTATGTGCAGTTGGGGCCTGGCCCAGCCGACACCCCTCTAACCTGGAGCAGTTCCTCCACTCCTGTGGGTTCCTGCCTGAGGCATGAGACACTCAGGTGGAACGGGTCCCACTTGTGGCTGTCTGCTGCGGCCCCGTGTGCTCACATGGTCCCAGTGGCACTCACTCCTTCTGTGCCCTGCTTACTTAGGCCAGGTGGGCATAACACATGGGCCTGCCATCAGCCTTCAAGGGAGGCAGACACACATGAAGTCTTGGGCAAAGAGGCAAAGCATTACTTTATAGTTGGGAACAGTGCTGTGGGAGTAATTCAGGCATCAGGCAGCCACCATTGAAGAGTTGTGTTGTTTTGTTTTGGACTGGGAATTGAATCTAGGGCCTTCAAGCTCAGCTATGTCCTCATCCCTATTTTTATTTTGAGACAGCCTTGCTAAGTTAGCCAGGCTGAGTTGGAACTTGCATTTCTCCTGCCTCAGCCTCTCAGAATGCGGAGATTATAGGCCTGTGCCACCACACCTGACTGGTTTGTCTTAGACTCTGGTCTGCTCTCCATGTCAGTCCCGATGACTCTGGAACAGGAAGCCTCCTTACATGCTTTCTCTCAGCCATGATGGAGTCACGTATGTGCCATACCCTTGCTGCAAGGGAGTCTGGCGGTGTGGGGCTCCAACATGGACAGGTTTTCTTAACCCAGAAGTCAAGAACGAGCTATTGGATCCCTCTTATCTCACCCCCAGCCAAGTTTTCAAACCCTTAAGGAATATAGCTAAGTTTTGGGCTTACGGGTTCTCAGCTACCCAACTTTGAATATATATAGCACATAATTCAGGAGGATCAAGTTTTCTGTCACCATTTTAAATCTTTGGAATTCCCATAATAAACAAAGAAATCATTTTTCTCAGTGTGAGGTGACTCTGCGAGAGGTTTTGTATCTTTCTCAGAACCCCAAAACACCATGATAGAGTTGTACTTTCCTGATTTACAAATGAGAAACTCAGTCTTCATGTAATTGGGAGCTTTACTCACAGTTGTAAGGCTGTTAAATTTTGAAATATTCTCAGGTCCATAGGATTTTTCACAGCTTGTTTTGTTTTTTTGGAGATGGGGTGTCACTGCATAGTTCAGGCTGACCTTGAACTCACTTTGTAGCCCAGGCTGGCCTTGAACCGCCAGCACTCTTCCTGCCTCAGCCTCCCAAGTGCTGAGATTACAGATGTGCACCACAACTCCCAGCTGTCATGTTTTTCTTCTTCATCTTCCCTGTCAGCTCCAATCATGTTTTCTTTTTCCAGTGAAGAAAAAATGACTGCTGCCCGCATTAGGAAGTGCCACAAATGTGGGACCGGCCTCATCAAATCCGAAGGCTGCAACCGCATGTCTTGCCGCTGCGGTGCCCAGATGTGCTACCTCTGTCGAGTGTCTATAAACGGGTATGACCATTTCTGCCAGCACCCCCGCTCGCCAGGAGCCCCCTGCCAGGAGTGCTCGCGATGCTCCCTCTGGACTGACCCCACCGTGAGTAGACGTGTGGCTGCCTGTACTGGTGCAGGAGAGAATAGCCTCATGTTCCTGTAATGAAATTGTTTTCTGGGGGAGGGTCTGCGGGGAAAAAAAAAAAAAAAAAAAAGAAAGAAATTGTTTTCTGTGTGCATGGCAAACTCTGACCCATGAAATGATAACAGGAAATTATTTTAAATTAAAACAAAATTTCAAAGCTTGAGCTGGGGATTCAGCTCAGTGGTGTAAGTGCCTGCCTGGCAAGCTCAAGGTCGTGAGTTCAATCCCCAGTACCAAAAAAAAAAATTTTTTTTCAAAGTTCGTTAATCAGGGAGTAACAATAGTGCATACGTTGTGCATTGTCATCCCCAAATCATTCACACAGAGCACAAGATATGTGCATTCAATTGTCCAAACAGTACCAGCACAAATCTTTCTCTTCAGCGAACTCAGAGAAATAAATGCTATAACTATCTTAACTATTTTTATATACATATACATACACATGTACATATGTTTCTTTCAGCTTCTCACACTAAAGAGACAATACGATGTTTATACATCTTATTTATCTCACTAATGAGTATGTTCTCCGAGTGCATCCCCTATAAAAGTGTCCAATTTATCTACAGCATGTGTTTAGCATTGAGATACGTAGGAGCTTCCCACACAAGGGTGACGCGCTCACTGCCGTGTTGTAGAAGCGTCCATCAGTACTGGAGGTCAGAGCCCATGTTGCCTGGCACCCACTGTGTCAGATGCTGTTTAAGTACTTACATATTTTTTTTAAATTACCATTTTATACTGGGTAAAGACAATAAACAACTGGAAAGCCTTTAGGAGTAATAGAAAGATACCTAGATTCAAATGTTCCAAATACCACCCAATATGGTAGCACATGCTTGTAATGCCAACACTTGAGAGGCTGAGGCAAGAGGTATGTGCCAAATTCTGAGACCAGCCTTAACTACATAGCGAGACCTTTTCTCAAAAAAAAAAATTTCAGGATACCATGTGTAGTATCGGTACAAAGCATATAGTGCCCTAGAAATAAACTTGAAATAAAAATATGAAGAAGACTGTACAAAGTATATTAAAGGAAATAGAAGCTTGAACATGTGGAGAAATACGCTTGTTCTTATTTTGTACAGTAGGTTGGATGCAAGAGTACTCTACCCCTGAGCTGCATCCCTTGCCCTTTTTAATTTTTATTTTAGACACAGTCTCACTAAGTTACCCAAAATTTATGCTGCCTGAGCCTTCCAAATAACTGGGATTAGAAAAGTGCACCTCGGGGCTGGGGATTTAGCTCAGTGGCATAAGCACCTGCCTTACAAGCAGGCGGTTGTGAGTTCGATCCCCGGTACCGATAAAAATGAAAAAGACAAAAAGAAAAGTACACCTCAGGGGCTGGGGATTTAGCTTAGCAGCATAAGCGCCTGCCTTGTAAGCAGGCAGTCATGAGTTCGATCCCTGGTACCGATAAAAACAAAAAAGACGAAAAAAAAATTATCAATGTTTTAAAAATTATTTTTAGGGCCAGGGATATAGCACAATGGCATAAGCACCTGCCTGGCAAGTGCAAGGTCCTGAGTTCAATACCCACTACCAAAACACAAGATTATTTTTAAAGTAAAATGCCCAGTCCTAAGATGACCTATAAGAACACAAGCCAGGGATTTAGCTCAGTGGCTTAAGTGCCTGCCTGTTAAACACAAAAGTCATGAGTTCAATCCCTGGTTCAAAAAAAAAAACTGTGACCTCATAAACTTCCTTGCCAGGCGTGGTGGCTCTCAACTGTAATCCCAGCACTCAGGAGGCTGAGGCAGGAGGATCAAGACCAGCCTGGGCTACAAAGTGAGCTCAAGGCCAGCCTGAACTGCACAGGAGACCCTGTCTCAAAAAAAAAAAAAAAACGATCTGAAGGGTAGCAGTATGCTAGTGTGCAGCTTTGTTCTCCCAAAAGGTGGTGCCGAAACAATGATTGCCCTTGCTGACTCAAAGCAAGTATTCCAAGGCCTGTGGGACATAGGCTCGGTGATAGACAATCCCGCCCAGCTTTCTCTGAGACTAGTACAGGAATAGGCAAAGAGATCAGAGGACAGAGAGAGACGAGATACAGGCATGTAATAATTTAATGTATGATACAAATCTCATGTCACATCACTAGGGAAATACAGATTCATTCAGTTACCATTGTTTACTAGCCCATGGTACCAGAAGTGGTCCAAAGAGAAACCCCTCTCGTGGTGGAGTTTGCAGGCTAATCCAGTGTAAACAAGAGCCCTTGGAGTATTTCATACTGCTCGGGGTATCCAGTGTGGAGCTGGAGGAGACGTCCACTGTGGATGGACTGACACTCCCAGGCAACAGGCAGCATTTACAGTGGAAAGCGGAGGCAGAGGAGCAAGAGCAGGGCCCAGCTGAGGCAGTCGAAACACTGGGTCTGTGTTGGGACCAGAAGGAAGGCAGGTGGGGCTTGCGGGCACTCAACCGTCAGGGGGGCCGCCCCAGAGCCAGAGGGGGCCACTGCAGGAGGTTACGGAGGTTACAGCTTTAAGGTCACACTGGTTGTTTTACAGAGCAAGGGGACATTCAGGAATGAATCAAGGCACTTGGCTAGCCACTGGGAATACTCTGAGAGAACAGAGGAGGTGGCTTTTAACCATGAACTAGGAAAGGTCCTTAGCATCGCCTCAAGGCCAGACTATGAACATGTAAATTCTTCTTGGTGAAAGACACCATAAAGGTAAAAATAAAAACTGGGCAAAATACTTAGAACACATGATTTAGAGAAACGATTTTTGTTTTAGTACTACTGGGCTGTAACCCAGGAGTACTTTGCCACTGAACTAGATCACCAGCCTTTTTTGTGTGATAGGATCTTGCTGAGTTGCCCGAACTAGCCTGAGTAACGGGGATAACAGCAGAACTAAGAACTGTAGGCACCAGCAGAGTGGCAGGGACAGTGGCAGCCAGAGAGGCTGTGGGGCCTCATTGGCATGGCTGCTCAGCTCAGTGGCGTGTTGTTGGGTGAGACCATTGCCGTAGCTTCTGGGCCCTCGGAGACTGGGCATCTGTATTTTAATGTGAAATAGCTGGTCTTTAATGGCCATTTATTCAAATGTCTTGAAAACACTATTCCGGCCAGCATTTTGTCGGCCGAAGAAAAGGTGGGGGAATCAATCTCCAGTGAGCCCACCAGGAGAAGGTGCCAGGGTCAGAGACTGGCCACCAAGTGAAAGTCATAGGCCGACCACCCTGTGGCCACAAGTGGGGTGGCCTGGAGGATGACCTCAGCCTGTGTGAAAAAAGCAGGCCGTCGTCAGAGCTGTGCTTGGCGCAGGAAATCACTGTGAGACCTAGGAGACCCTCTGCAAACTTGCCCTCTTGTCACTGAGGACATGTCTGGAAGAAAGGGTTTTGTACACAAGAAGGCTGTTCTCTTCTGTGGCTAGTCGGAAGGAGGCACACTCCACAGTGGGCAGAGCACGCCCAGTCCCCAGGACCCCCTGAAGAGTGGGGTCCTCTGCCTGCAGCTGGAGCTCCTAGGTTTTCTGGGGCTAGATTTCATCTCCAGATACAAAGAGCACCCACAGGAAGGGTGCTCGGCAGGCTGCTCTGTGCTCCACCACCTCATCACTTCCTCCTGCATGGAATGCATTCTAAACGCTTCTCAGGCGCTGCTGCCCTGTGTAGTGCCATGGTGTGCCACTGTCCCCTATTTCCTCATTGAATTGATATCTGCTAGCCCAGGAAGGTTCTATAGCTGTTCAAATAAAGTTTGAAAGGAAGGTCAGGCAAATACAAATCCATCCAATTTCCTCTGGTCACCATAGCCAGAGATTTTGTTCCATTTGTCCCGTTCACATCAAAACAGGGATCAGCCCGGTTTCCTTGATTTCTCACCAGGAGACTGATTGAATTCCACCCCAGCATCTGCTGAGGCTTCTGAGAACACAAAGCCCTTCAGAAGAGCAGCGAAACAAAGCATGCACTGTCCCGCGCCTGTTCCCTGGCCTCATTAACCAGCAAGGCCAAGAAGAATCTCTCATTGTCAGCAAGGGAGTTGTCCCTTTGCAGTTTGGAGGGGTGTTGGGTTTTCATCCTTAATGACTAGCGATTGCTTGGGAACCTGAACTAACTGGGTACCAAGGGAACAAATGGCAAATGCATAGTAACTTTCTCTGTTCGTTACCAAATATAAACCAAAAGCAAGCATGTCAGGAAACAGGCCATCTTCTGTCGGAAGGGGAAAGAACCTAAAGCACAGTTTGGGGCTGGGGAGTCAGACTGTCTCGGCACAGAAAGGAACAGACTTCCCCGCAGTAGAGCAAGAATCGCCCCTCGGCATTACTCAGCCCAGTGCCCTGATTTTCTTGTCCACATGTGGCCACATGAGTGGCAACTGAGGTGCTGCCTCTGTCCCTCACTGTAGGAGCCACTTCCAGAACATCTCCTGGCAATCTGGACTGGGGAAGTGTGGCAGGATCTGTGACATCGTGTTCTCCAGATACAAAACAAAGTGGGCGTTTGTTGTGGGTTTTGGCTACTAGAAATCAGAGAATTGTTTTCTACAACCATTTTGGTTTTGATATAGGATTTTGATGTCAGTGCTATTCAAACAGAACTCTAGAGCTTTTACACCCACTCAAAGGTTGGTGCCATTTCTGTCTGCTCTTGGGTTTAGATCGGTAACGTGGCACAGAGGAGGAAACTTGAGACAGCACACGTAGCTCAGGCTCCAGCCCAGCCCCCCTGTCCCAGGCCTGTTCCTATGTGAGCAGCACAGCATCCTCCTGTGAGCTGGGGCAGGAACAGCACTGGCCGCCTTGAGACCCCGGCCAGAAAGGGACACAAAGCTGCAGCAAAGACAGAAGGGGAAGAGTAGTTAAGAAGCGTTTATGAGAAAAACACAGCCAGCAAGAAAAGGCATTCCAAACTCTAGGTTGGAAACTGATGTTTAGATTTTGCCTTTTTCTTAACTTCTAAAACGTTAAGAAAAAAAAAAGCATGTA